GCTGAAAATAGTTATTTATATCTCCCGTCTCTATGAGGTGACAGCCGGCCACAGAATTTCCATCTCCCCGGTATTTGCATACACAGTGTGTGGGGTGTAACATCTCCCCTGTCACTCTCTCTATATATCTCATTGTACAGGAGACGTCTTCTACTTTGTATCTGACACTCCACAAACATCAAGATGCTTTCTCACAGTTATCTGCTGGCCGTCATCTTAATTTCTATTCAGGGTGAGAGATGAGGCTCCTTCCATCATCCTCTGCACAGACATCTATACATTGTACAATAAATACACACATCAGGATTGATAGGAAGATATACAGACATTTATCAATAATCAATATGTCTCTCCCCATCCTCAGGATCCTGTGGGCAGATTGTGATGACTCAGACTCCGGATTCTATCTCTGTGTCCCCGGGACAGACAGTCACCATCACATGTACATCCAGTGCTGATGTAAGTAGCGCGGTAGCCTGGTACCAACAGAAGCCCCACCAACCTCCAAAGCTTCTTATCTATTGGGCCAGCAATCTGGAATCCGGGATCCCGGACAGGTTCAGTGGTTCAGGATCTGAAGAGGAATACCAATTAATTATTACTGGAGTGACTGAAGATGATGAAGGAAGATATTACTGTCAACAGGGTGATGAGCTCCCTTTCACACAGTGATACAGAGCCGTACAAAAACCTCCTTCCTCTTAAATAGCTCAGTAAGAGTCAAGGTAACTTTTTTCAAATGAATGTGATACATGTCAGCTAAATATATTGTGATTGCTAGCAACAGGAATATTAATTATGATGTTGATCATATTCAAAGTAGAAGGAAGATTATGCATTGTTCCTTTAACCAATCAGATATAGGAATAGCCTGCAATGATTTATGAAGCTTTCACTAAAGTTCTCATTGCATCTAAAATGATCCGGTGAGGATAGAAATTATGGAGGTGCAATTCACAATTTGGTTTTAAAGGTACAGACTCCAGAGGGTGTCATCCTGATCCTGGCTTCACTGCTTAATAAGGCATTGACCTGGAATCAAGCATGCAGGAAGGAAGTTCAGACATTTTAACAGACTTCCCAGGCTACATGCTTGTTCCAGTTCTGTGATTTACTAGATAGTGAATCCAAGATGAGATGACAGCCCAAACCCTGCTCATTTACATACACACCAGCAAGGAAAGCTTTAGATCTTCCAAATTATGAACAGGTGAAGCCACAGGCTGGCCAGAGGTGCTAAACCGAGGTATGGAGTGAAGTAGAAAGACACTACCAGAAAACTGAGTAAAACTCTCTTATAACAAGAAGTGATGTTTTTCATGTGTCTTCGAGTGTCAGTTCCCCCAAAACTAATATAGTTTAGTTTTTATCTTTCAGGACCTTCAGGGGCCGAATCTGTGTACGATCTGTGTGATCTGTGTGCTTGATCTCCCAGGCTGCACATCTGATGCATCCATTACCTTTCCCATACCTCCCAACTATCTGAGATTAGAATGAGAGACACCTTCCAGGTAAAAAGACAAAGGACACACCCCTGCCATGCCCCCAGTTATGGGGATTGTTAACAATGTGTATTCCAAAAATTATTAATTAAATCCAGAACTGTCATCTTTTTTTTACTTTCCCCTTTTTTGGCTTTTTAATATAGCAAACAAGATAATGAAGTTCTCTTTATTTAAGAGATAAGATAAAGGATTTAGTGCTGAATAACACTTTCTGTTAGACACATTAGACAATGTGGACAAAGAAGTCAATGTATCATACATGGTGGCAGTGCCCCAGGATTGAGGGCTTCTGGAGAAGAATATATTTCCTTATACATAACATCACAAACACTGACATAGCAAAGGGACCATGTGTAGCTCAGATCCCCCTCCACTCCAGCTGTAAAATGTTACTCAACATCCTCGTGTTTAATGCAGGTGAATGAACTGCATTAGATGGGATGACATCACTAGGGCTTAGACTTCCAGAGCCCAGGAGCAAAGAGGCTGCGGTAACCGGTTTTGCAGCCAGGTGGAATCAAAGAGCAGGTAAGTATATTTTTAATAGGGGGAGTTTATGGACCACTAAAAACACGTTGGCTGTTTTTGTAAATAAAAGAACTACATTTATCCCATGTGTAGCTTTACTAAAAAAACTGGCCTGCGGATTGCATTGCTATCCACCTCCTATACTTATATTGATCGGTGGTTTCAAATTAACAAGAAAAGATACTGCAGTAGAGAAGAGAAATAGAAGAAACACTTATCATTCAAAAAAACTCTTCTGCTGTTTATTGATAGGGGGGGGAGGGGGGACCGCCCAAAATGCATTGTTTTATCCTGTTGTTATTTTGTAATGAAAAAACGACATTGGACTTTACTAGCTGTGTTGGTTCCCTGCCTGTTCTCAAATGAATTCACTCAAGATTCCCTTCACCTATTTGGGAGCAGCCTCCCCAGAGTGGGTACGCTTCATACGCGCTCCCATTCCATACACTCCACACCTTTTCTTTTGCGGAGGGCCAGAACTTCACTGTAGACCTGTGGCACTGTCATGGACCCGCCCATCTGGAAAACAAGTAAAAAAAATATGTTAGCCATGTCTCTACTCCAAACACCACAATTATAAATGTCCCCCCCCCCCTTCCCAAAACTATACTGATAGTAACTAACTAAAAAATAAAAACAAAACAGGCCTGGGCAAATAATGGGGAGGGTTGGCAGGATTAATTCTGTTTTCTCTACCACCTACAATGGTTGCCTGCTTCACCAGATGCCAGAAGAAGGCTCCTGGTAACTTCACCCCCAAATAATAGCCCATCAATCCTACACTAGCAAGTCTTTCTGCCCCACTAGCTATTCAAACGTAAATAACCCCCCAATACTTACCTAACCCTTCTGTCCAGCTCTGTTCAACATAGGTCATGTCCATCCTACACCTAGAGCTCCAAAGAGAACCATATCTGAAATTATTTCATAATGTTGTAGTGCTCACCCCTGAAGGAGCCGCTGGATTAACCCGGATCATGACTAGTCTGTCTAAGGGTTTGATATTCAGCTGCCCCACTAGCATTTAACTGCCCTCTTCTAGTGCCCACAAAGCTGTTGTCCACTCCAGATAAACGCGAACTATAATCCAAGCAGGCTGACTACAGCCCTGGCAATCATTAAATGTCTAGTAGCCACCTCACAAAAGGTGATGGGGGCTGCACTGTCAAGACACATTTCTATAAGAAGATGATACTTCTACTATAAGAGGTATGACATTTGGGTTTTCCTTAACCGGATAAAGACTGACAATAACACACACAACAAATAAAGTTTTTTTTATTTCAAATGAATCTTTGCTCATTACATTTTGAGATACTTTACATGTATTTGATGATCTTACCATTCTTTACTGATAATACTAACCTATGCGAATATGAAAAGACTTTAGGCCAATAGTTACCCTGTGTGCCCTTTCTCCTAAAAAGATAATACACCTGCATATACATAACTATATTACTTAACAGAGCCCTGGAGGTCCAACTGAACTATTTAAATCAATTTAAAGAAGATCTCTGGGCATATTAAACATTAACCCTTACAGTGGGACTACCCCTGCACTGCAAGGGTTAAGTGCTTATTTGGTCTAGGGTCTAAAATAAAAAAGATATACTCACCCAATCCTTAGTCCGGTATCGGTGACCACTCACCTTTCTCCCCTTTACTCTTGTCTTTAAGTGGTTAAATTAATTTTGTATTTTAATATTGCGCTTTAAAGTGGACCTTTACGCTCAAAAATTCTACCAATGCATCCCTCTATGTATGATGATTAATAATAACACAGACATGTCAGGTGTAAAATGCTGTGATTGTGAAATACTTACACTTGCAGAGCATTCACTTCCTGCATTGAAAGGGCAAATTACTTCAGTTTGCCAAAGCAATGCACACTGGGATTGTCTTGTCATCAGCAGAGCATTGCTGGGAAATCTCATTTGTAATCTCATGAAATCTCAGGGAAAATAATTGTCCTCCCCTGAGATGATGTGCATGGTCACATGCCCCAGTCACATGTCTAGTCACATGTGCCAGAAATCCAAGAAGTAATGGGAGAGCTAGTAATCTGCTCTTAGTAAACATGGCCACTGTCAGAAGACTGGGGAAGAAAAGAAAAATAAGCTATGCAAAGAATACAAAGCCGGCAATTATCTAGAAGTATGTGATTGTAGATTGTCATTACTAAACATTTCTAAAGGTGTGTGTGTTATTTTACAGATATGGGTAAAGGTGCACTTTAAGCCTTATTACCTGCCCGGAGATATTTCTTAATATTTACACACATGATAAAATCGGATTTTTTTGGCTAGAGCTTTAAAATTGCATGCGCCTGTGAAACCGCAAAAAACTACAATACCCAAAATTTCCCATAGGCGATGCTTTAACCTCCCTGGCGGTATGATTATTTCGCTTTTCGTTATTTTTTCGGCGCAATTTTTTTCCGTTATTTTATTTTGTCGTTTCTTCCGGGTTTTTTCGAATTTCCCGCCGGTTCCGCCCCCATGCGACGCGTCAGCTCGCAAGGGACGGAACCCGGAAGACAGATGCCGGCGCCGGCCGGAGGACACCGCACGGCTCGATGGACAAGGTAAGTAAATACTGTGGGATATTCCCGAGTGTAGCTCAGGGTATGGAGAAGTAACCCCGAGCTACACTCGGGAATACCGCCAAGGAGGTTAAAAGCTTTTACTGCTCATCAGTTTAATGTTACAAGTGATTGATGGCCCTAGAATTATTGCTCACATTCTGTGCACCCAGTCGACTCCTAGGTTCAGGTGAGAATATCATTGCTATTTTCCTCCCTAGATTCATGCCTAGAGTTCTTCTTAAAAGATGAAACTGTATTTTAAGATGTTATCTATAGTGTTTGCATGGATTGTCTCCCCTGGTGTTTGCGTCGTACTGAATATGAGCTTGGGTGAGTCTTATCTATATTTAGATTATATCTGGTGACAGCCGACCACAGAATTTCCATCTCCCCGGTATTTGCATACACAGTGTGTGGGGTGTAACATCTCCCCTGTCACTCTCTCTATATATCTCATTGTACAGGAGACGTCTTCTACTTTGTATCTGACACTCCACAAACATCAAGATGCTTTCTCACAGTTATCTGCTGGCCGTCATCTTCATTTCTATTCAGGGTGAGAGATGAGGCTCCTTCCATCATCCTCTGCACATACATCTATACATTGTACAATAAATACACACATCAGGATTGATAGGAAGATATACAGACATTTATCAATAATCAATATGTCTCTTCCCATCCTCAGGATCCTGTGGACAGATTGTGATGACTCAGACTCCGGATTCTATCTCTGTGTCCCCGGGACAGACAGTCACCATCACATGTACATCCAGTATTAGTGTAAATGGCTACCTAAACTGGTACCAACAGAAATCCCAACAACCTCCAAAGCTACTTATCTATCAGGCCAGCACTCGACAATCCGGGATCCCAGACAGGTTCAGTGGTTCAGGATCTACAACTGGATATAAATTTACTATTAATGGGGTGACTGAAGATGATGAAGGACATTATTACTGTCAGCAGACAGGGTGGGAGCCTGTCACACAGTGATACCGAGCCGTACAAAAACCTCCTTCCTCTTTTCTAAGCTAATATAAAGGTAAGATAGAAATTTAAAAAAATTGTTTTTTCTTTCAGCGGTCCGCAGGCATCGTTTACAGTGACTGAGGAGGATCTACATCACTGGATGACATGATAGACAATGAATGTGCAGTGTGGGACTTTTTTTTTTTTATATACAGGTCAAATGTCTCAGTGTGGAATTGATTTTGAAGATTGGACCTCCCATTGATTTCAATGGGGTTCACATTAAAGTTCAGAAATGGTGACATTTTCAGCATGTTCTGCAAGTGCACCGCCGAATCAAATCTGAGAAAGTTCACACATTACTATACTAGACATGTGCGATTCGTTTCGTTCCGAAACGAAATTCGGACGAATTTTCGTAAAATTCGGAGATTTGGATGCATCCGAATTACAACTAAAACGAATACAAACGAATTCGGACGAAATTTCGGAAGTTCGGAAATTCGGATGCATCCGAATTACGAATTACAGCTATAACGAATGCTAACGAATCCGAATTCCCAATTTCCCGAAATTCGTTAGCGGTAGTCCGGTCGAAATTTCGTTTATTGGACGAAATTCGTTAGCAGCAAAGCCCATCTGTTGACATTCGGGCTGAATGTCATTTTGCGGCAAGTTTTCGTCGGGTTCGGGTGGTCGTCGTGCGGCGGGACTTTTTTTATTTCTGCGGGTCGGCGGGGGTCGTGCATCGTGATTCACGCTGGATTACATCAATGGAGCCATTTTTATTTTTTTTATTAAAGGAATAGTCAAAAATTGAGTCTTTGTTTTTTTTTCAATTAAAGGATTTTATCTAAAAGTCTGGACTTTTTACTAACTATTTGGTTTAACCCTTTAGTGAATGGGTTAGTACCCCTTATTCATTCACAAGGGGGAGGGTGGCATCTGGGTTCCCCCTTTATTTAAAGGGGTACCCCGATGCAAATAAGCCCCCTTGCCCGCAGACCCCCACAACCACTGGGTCAGGGTTGTGAGGAAGAGGCCCTTGTCCCCATCGGCACGGGGACACCCTCCCAATGCCGAGGGCACGGGGTCTGGTAAGGCGCAGGGAGGGGGGTCGCTCGATCATCCCCCCTTTCCCGCCCTGCTGGGCCAGTGCTCGGATCAAGGGTCTGGTAGGACTGTTAGGTGGGACCCCACGTTTCCCCCCCCCCATTTTTGGGGGGCTGGGGTTCCCCCTTAAAATTCCTACCAGACCTAAAGGGTCTGGTAGGATTTTGGGGGGAACCCCATGCACTTTTTTTTTTGTTTTAACTTGGGGAGGGTCCCTTCTAACATTCCTACCAGACCTAAAGGGTCTTCTGCAGACTGTAAAAAAAAAATAATAATAATTTTTTTTCTAGTGTCACTTTGCTGCTAACGACATTTCGTCCAATAAACAAAATTTTGACCGGACTACCGCTAACAAATTTCGTCCGAATCCAAATTCTATTGCGGACCCGAATCCGAAAAACGACTACCGCTAACGAATTTCATCCGAATCCGAATCCCGCAACTAATTAAATTGCGGACCCGAATCCGAAAAACGAAATAACGAAAATCTGAATCAAAACGAAACAAAACGAAACAAATTTTTTGCTGGTGCACATGTCTACTACCCACCACCAGCATTTTTAGCATTCACACATTATAAGTCAAGGCTAATACAACGTATTATTTCACTTACAGTGTGATGAATTGCCAGGGGGTTTCATATATCTCCTGGAGACTAGATGAGACCCCTCTGCAATAGTTCAAAGCTCTGATCCTGCTCAGCTCAGTGTTTTGGATGTTTCCAGCCAACATTGGGTGTTCCTTCTCCTCCTGTGACATTCTCTGTAATGTAAAATAAATTAAGGAGAGTGGGACCCCCTTGTAATGGAAATGTGAGGTTTGTAAACCTGGGAATGCATATGCAGAAATCTCGCCACTGAAGTCCCCTCAATAAATGAGACACTACTGGGTGATTTTTCTCCACCATCTACCAAATACAGAAATATCAGTTGCAAGGTGCCCATACAATTTACAATTATCTGGAGATTTTTGTCTGCAATTGCATTTTCGTCAGAAAATCTGCCAGACGGCTGCCTATGCACTGCACTTGTAGTCAATTAACTCTGCCTCCCATCCATATTAATACATGTCTGTACCTTGGTACCGGCATGGTTTTGGGAGTAGAGATCCACCGATACCATTTTTTTAGACCGAGTACATCAACTATAGAGGACTACAAATACAGTTCCCACTCTCCCATACATCCCCTCTAGGAGAGCGGTGTGGGCGGAGACATCGCTGTCACAGGAGGCTGAGCTCTCCTCCTCACCGCTCGCTCAGCCTCCTGTGACAGCTTGCCATGAACGAGAGCGGGTACAAGCAGTTGGTGATCAGTGATCGCTGAGTATTTGTACATAAGTGAATACAGAGTATGATCTACATCTCCTCCTGTTCATTCATGATTGTGGTTATAGTAAACACACTCTGTCCTCATGTTATCAATGAAGAGACACACTCATTATAGAGGATTCTGGTTAATTGATAAGAGGGGCTGGAGAAAAAGAGATTGAGGGCTCTGTGTCCTCAATCTTTTTATATTTTAAAAAGGGAAATATCAGGTGTCTTTTTAGACCCCTAATATTTCCCAACAGTAAAGTAAAAAAATAAAAAATATTCAATAAAAATATATAAAAATTAAATATTCTGTCAGCGCTCCCTCTCTCTCCTCCCGGCCGCTCTGAAGCTGCAGTGTCCGGGAGGAGCGAGAGGGAGTGCTGACAGGTGTGATCGCCGCCGCCGTGGCCATCTTAAATAGGCCCCCCTCCCAGTCGGATATTTCCACGCCCCCCTCCCCGCCGCTGCTTGACCTGCCTATATGGTAGCGCTGGCTCTGTAAGTGGCGCGCTGGGCTCAGGAATAATCGACGCGCTGGGCTCAGGAATAACCGACGCGCTGGACTCAGGAATAAGCGACGCTCTGGACGCAGCAATAAGCAACGCGCTGGAGTCAGGAATAAGTGACGTGACGCGCTGGACTCAGGAATAAGCGACGCGCTGGACTCAGGAATAAGCGACACGCTGGACTCAGGAATAAGCGACGCGCTGGACGCAGCAATAAGCGACGCGCTGGAGTCAGGAATAAGTGACGTGACGCGCTGGACTCAGGAATAAGCGACACGCTGGACTCAGGAATAAGCGACGCCCTGGACTCAGGAATAAGCGACGCGCTGGACTCAGGAATAGGTGACGCGCTGGACTCAGGAAAACAGTGGACTTAGCAGTAAAAACAGAAGAACACTAAGACCTTGTTCACACCGAAAGCGTTGCGTTCCAGTGTGGTAGCTGCTGGAACGCACCACGATCGCTTGCAAAACTTCCCCATGCGTTCTGGGGCGGGAGGGGGCATGGTGGTGCATTGAATTCAATGGCACCGCTTCCACGTCCTCCTCCCGCCCGCAGTGCGATCGGATGCGTGGCAAAACTTTGCCTACATTCCGTTCCACTGCAAACGCAAAAAAAATAGGGCTTGCTCTATTTTTTGCGTTTGCAGTCAAACGGAACGCAGGCAAGCATCCGATCGCACTGCGGGCAGGGGGGAGCGTGGAAGCAGTGCCATTGACTTCAATGCACCCCTCCCGCCCCAGAACGCAGGGGGAAGATAACGGTGCGTTCCAGCAGCTACCGCTCTGGAACGCACCGCTTTCGGTTTGAACAAGCCCTTAAGATAAACCCTCCCCAGGCCCATCTACCTGGTGCAGCCTCAGCCTGGTCAGATGTTCTGCTCCTGCAGAGCCCACACTAGAAGAGCATGAAAGTGCAGCTCGCTGTCCACAGTGATAGCCCCGGAACCTCCATGCTGCCCGGCGCCGCAGCCAGGGCCGTCTTTAACGCGGGGGAAAGAGGGCACTTGCCACGGGCCCAAACAAGGTTGTGGGGCCCAAAGCATCTGCCCCTTGAGCCCGCTGCCCGCAGAAAATTGCCGATCGGATCGCATAGTATAATACGTTATGGCAGCGGCCGCATACGGCAATGCCATAACGTATTTTCCTATGCGATCTGCACGATCGCATCCTAAAGGTAGCTCCTCCCCCGGCCCCCGCCCGCATAGCGTGACATGTCACACGTGCTTCACTAGAGGACGTGAGGCTGTGCGTACGGGTGCCTCACTCAGGACATCCGGAAAGAGGCAGACTGGCACGAGGCGAGGACTGACTGAGGCAGGTGAGAAAATAAAAAAGGAGAAATATAAAGGAGATATACAATTTGTATATCTCCCTGAAAAGCTCACTCCATTTCTGTTCTGTCCTTCATATATATGTGAATAACATGATTGATAGAATTACAATGCATGATAGTAGAAAGCCATGATTAGACATAATGAACATGATTAGATAATCAGACTTAACAGAGACATGATTGTTGGTAATTTGACATGATACAGCGTTATTGAAGGTTTAACAGAGGAGGAGCCTAGTTTTCTCTCAACGTTTCACGCTTAGGGGCGCTTCTTCAGGAAAGGGAGGTTGTCATTCAAATGGGTCAGTGTGTGTGCATCTCTGCAGGGCCGTCCAGGCACAGCAGCTGGGTCACAGTCACCGAAGCAGATGAGGCAGACATCCCAACCTGCAAAACCTTATTTCAGGAAGGTTCCCGTCTCATTTCAGGGAGGTGCCCTTTCTGGGTTTTTTTACAGCGGCCGTCATCCAAATATAAAAGAAATAATAATGATA